CCGATATAGGATCATAGCATACCATCACGTTCTATTGTCATGTCCACTCTATCGACACCGATCTGAGCAACTATCAGTATTCGACACTTCTTTAGATATCTTATCCAACCTATAGGTCAACCCTTATGCGGTTTGATCCGCAAAGTCACACTCATCTAACTTCATATCTCGCATAGATGCGTTTGATTCCATACTCGACTCAACTTTTAGTACATATAGTAAAATCTATGTTAACCAATGTGAGATTATAACATTTTCTTGCATTTTATGGACAAAGTTACTCTCCATTACATGAGTAAATGGTTTATCCATCTTCATGTTCAATGCCTCAAATGTTAAAACCAACTTAATCTAATGGTTTGCAATACAGACCTCAATGCTTCATCTACAAATCGATCATTGTACAATCAGGTATTTAGAAATATTCACTTGGAAAAAAAGGTTAAAAATTTTAGAATGTGTTGATAAAATTCATCGTAAATATAATTCATACTACAATACTTTTAAATTTATATATAACATTTCTTATTCTGTCCATCAAGTTATTGAAAAATGAGTTTATGAAAAGCCATGATCTTGAGCAATTATTTGATAATGCCTTGTTTGGGAAAGCAAAAAATCTATGGATTTAGAATTTGGAAATCCAAAATTGATTAAGAATGGACATATATGGTAAAGATTAAAATGATAAAATGAGAGATTTATGAGTAAAATAAATTTAAAATATTAATTCCCATTTTTGTATAAATTCTGAATTTATAGTGTTCGGTGTTGCGAAAGGGATGACAGGGTAGGTGACCATGTACTCCAGCCATTGGGGGTGGGACACGCCACGTGTCCATGGTTCGAAGTCTTGGATTTTTCATTTTATGTTCGCATGATCGATCAAGCGAAGAGGGGTTGGTGATAGTGATATTGGATTTTTTCTATGTGGTCAAAGTATACTACTAATCAAACCAAACCCACCAACCTCACGCGTTTAAAGGAGTTGGATTCTTTCAATTTAGTCCACATCTGGATTGAAGTGTGTTGTTAAATAAATTTATTATACGTCTTGTTTTAATTATTTAGATAATTTATTTTTTTAATTTTTTTGTATATATTATTTACAAAAGAAAAAAAATTTAAATTGATCTGATAATCATAATCTATTTAATTTATTACCTTTGTGTACAAAATAATGAATGACAAATGAATTTTAAAAATAGACCCTTTTTTTTTGTGTGTAACAAATGTGATAAATTGAATAAGTTACTATTATCGGATTGATATTTTTTCTGACGATATACTTGAAGAATCTTATAAAATAAACTACTCAAATTATTGAAGTAAAATTCATGATGAATCTCACCGACGCGAGTCCAAATTATGAACCGGAGGAAACCCCAATCCATTTTGAAATTACAAATCTCATTAAAAAAATGTTTTCAAATTTGTAAACAGCCTTCTACTACATTACACAAATACATATATTAACCATAATTCCTAAGCCTAAACACCCCTCGACTATTAACGATTAGATATATATATATATATATATATTTGCTTGGGGCAAATATACTTTAACCTTTTCATTTTTGAATTCATGGAAAATTATACAATAATTCCGAAGGACCAAGTCACCGTACTCTCTCACTAATCACCATTCATTATGTCTCTTCATATTTTTTTATCACCCAGTACAAATATCTCACCTACTCACATTCTCTACCAATCGTAATACCAAAGAGTATCACATGTCCATACTTCGAAACTATTGATAAATTCATATATTTTGATCTATTTAACTAAGAAAATGTATTACTTTCAACCCCGCTAAACCACCTTCAAGAATGGTGCATTTATAAACTTTTCATAATTGCAAAAATTAATATGTACATATTTATAATTAACAAGTGATAAAATGATCAAAAATATTTGAGAGGTCTAAAGGAGCTCTAAATGTGTGAGCCCCACAGTTATGGCAATGTTTTGATTTTTTTATTTTTTTTATTCTCTGTCACATCATTAAAACTCAATTAAAATTTCAAAATTAAAAGATGTAACATTATTGTAAAATGATATCCAATAATAATTGAAAAAAATTCAACGTAATTAATCCGTTTTAAAACATTTTGAAGTCTATCAGTTGATTTGTCATAGTGGCTAGAGTTGAGATTTTTTCTTTGGACTCTTTTCTTACCTTCCTACTTACAATGATGGAGATGCATTTTGAGTTAATTTAACGGTTCAGATTTGGGCCAAAAAAGTAAATTTAAATTTGTTTTATTATTTTTTTTATTTAAATAAACAAATCTAAACCATTAGATCAACTCAAAATACATCTCTGCCATTACAAATAAAGAGACAAAGAAAAGTCCAAGGAGAAAATCTTTAACTCTAAGTGGCTATCCATCGCATTAATTGATTTTTTCTTGTTAGAGATATCTCCCCAACGCACCCTTTTTTTTGTCATTTTTGCAAGATTTTTGGTTGTGAAATAGCTCTCCAAGGCAATCAGCCTAGTCGATTAACTCTTGAATTTGTAAAAGAAGAAATAAATCAACTATAAATTTTTATTTTTTTCACAAATCTCATCCTCAATATTTCCTATCTATAAATCCTTCCATAAATTTAAGATCTAAACAGTCTTAAAAAGCTCATCATATCTGTAATTTTCTTCCTTTGACTTGTGAAGTCTAAACAATATGATAATTTTCCTCATATGACTTTTGAAGTCTAAACAATTAAAACGTTTCTGTGAAGAACTAAGATCATCTCTAATGATCCATCAAATCTATCATAAAATTTAAATTTAATAAAAAAATTACTTTTTACTCTCCAACATTTCATCAAATTCAAGATTTTATGAAATTCAAGATTTTACTCCTTTCATTAAACTGAAGGCCAATGTGTCTTTCATCAAATTCAAGATTTTACTCCTTTCATTAAACTGAAGACCAATGTGCCTTTCATCAAATTACTGTTCATTGCCATTAGATTTTCACTACCAGATATCCACCAAATGTCCCCTCAGATGACCACCTTGAGGCAAAAATTTGTTAAAGAATTACACTGATCAGTTGACCGACCAGTTGTCCGTCCGATCGTTCGGTAATTTGATAAAACTACAAAACCGACTTGATATCAAAATAAGCTTTTACTAGATTTTTTACTCAAATTTAGTGAAAAAATTAATGCACCATTACAGATACCCTAACTACATGCTTCAAATCCAAATCGATTGAGAGCATACAAGAGCAATTTTTGACAAGACTCATAACCACAAACTAGAATTGCAAATAAAAACACGAAAGGGTAGGAGAACTGGTTGACAATAGTTAGGAGTTCCAAAGTTCTTGCTTTGCTTTTCATGAAAAAACATCAATAGCAAGTAGTGCTCTCAATACAAAAAAGTTGTACCTTTCCAATGCCATCCAACTTTACCACTATAGACAATACCTCAAAAGACTCAATTTAACATAAAAATAAATACATGGGTAAACAAATAATCTCAAAAATTCTCCTTTTTGTGAGTATTTCAACTTCTTTAGATTTTGCATTTTTTGGCAAATTAGAGAACTTCATCGATAAAAGATAAGATTAAAAGAGTTTGGTCATGCCATTCTAGATCATACAGGTCCAAAACATAACTCATACAAGACAAGGTAGTAAAACAAAGAAAAAACAAAGAAACAAAGGCAGCAAAATACGACCAGATTACTTCTCTAGCTTTGCTTGGAAATTAGTTGTATTCATCACAGGTGACAAGATTACAACTACAGGATATTTGAACCAAATTACAGCACAAAAACCTGATGCTATTTCATTTGCTTTTTTAAATATGTTGGGAGAATTTTAAGAACTTCATTCTTAATAAACATGATTACATAAGCAAACATCGAACGAGCAATCGCCTTTAAGAACCTAATACACAAACCAAGGGGGAGAAACTGAAAAGAAATGGCAACCGGGTAACAACCTGGAAGAAACCTGGCCAATCAAACTACAAAAACCACAAAAATCAACACACATCGCTAGCCAAATCCCAGAAAGTCAAACAGAACCAGAGCTAGGAACCTCGGCCAGCAAATAATCAAATAAAAAAAAAGCCCAAGTTAATAAAAACACCTTACTTCTCAAAGGAATTAATGAAAATATCATAAAAACATTCGTGCTGCACAACATCACAGTAAGAGCAAACTTTCACAATATACACGAGATTCAACAGAGAACAATGCAAAGAACACAGAATAAATTGACTTCTGCCATAACTTGAAGCAGAAATCAATTACAACTCTAGTTGTTTAACAAAAATCAAAGCTGTTCAAGACATTCCATTGAAAGCTCAGCAGTCCAAATTGATCAAGCCACAATTACTAACATGCAAAGAACTGCATTAGGAAGATAAATTCATGAGAAATCATTCATACGGGTGCATGCAATGGAAGAAAGAGATTTTTAAGGTTACAAAACAACCAAGGGGATTAAAGGCAAATCAAAAAATCTGAAAATTCCAGAAACTGCTGAGCACACTTTTTAGACATTGGAAAAACGGAAGACGAGTCCATAAATTAAAATCTAAGTATAAGAACATTACATCAGTTATTTTTCAAGTTCAATGTATCTCTAACAGTTAAAAAATTTAAATTGCTATGTGAAGATCATATCCCACAGCTATCTTTTTTAATCCTTCATTTCATTCAATGAAAAGACAAATGAATGGAGGGAAGCAAGATGAAAATTAACTCAAACTTGTACAAGCAATACAGAAAAACATCCAATGAAAAGTGAATACAACACTGACAATAAACTTTTACAAAATTTTCCAGCTATTAAGATAGCAATAAGCCATAGAATCAAATAGATGGGGTGCCATTACCTGAAATCTATATTATTAGAAGAAGAATGCATCCGTGGATTGCTGTAAACAAAAATTCTCAATCAATTAAATGTATAAGCATGAATAACATTTATTACAACGTACAACAGCCTCAGTCCAAAAACTGGTAACAACAAAATGAGAAACTGAATGTTTTTATTGCCTTATACAATGAGCTAAGCATAAGCAATAAAGAAATATGAACATAATTTCAATGAAGAGGTTATCATAGAAACTAGAAAAGACATCAAGGGGCAGAACGCATTAACACTGCTGAAATACATTTAATTCCACACCCATTATGACTAAATAATAACAAAGGTATGATTGAAGAAGCAGCATCAAATTGTCCATAATTAAGCTCAGATGGAACAAAAACACCAAATTCAAATATCTAACAAGAAAACTACGCTTACCATAATAAAAGCATTGCAGGGGAGTGAAAAGAAATAAAGCAGCAGAGTTATACTCACGCTGGACATGGCCATTTTGGAAGTTATTTCCCTTTACCCAGCACATGGCTGCTGCAGCATATATAACCCAATTTTCATCATTGTCCAAACTGCAATTGTTGAGGATGACCTAATAGCTTTCTCAGTAGTGGAAGGAGGCCAATCAAAGCTATTTGAAGCTGTTCTGAGCTATTCAAGCGGATACTGGCTTGCCCTGAACTCTTATTATTCAAACTGGCACGAGCAATCAAGTTTGTAAACCGTCCAATAGGAATCTGGGACTGCATATTTGCTCCCAAGGCAAGATCTCCATGCCAATCCATGACAGATAGCCCAAAAGTTGATAGTGAACGACCCAGAGGATGATCTTTATCTCTCAAGGTGGCCTCCAAACTACCACCGTAAGCAACATCACCACGACCTGTCATGGCACCTCCAGACACAACCAACCGGAATCTTTTGTTAACAATTAATTTGTCCTCAACTTTCACTCCTGCTGTTAAGGCATCACCCAAAAGAGTTGCTGAAAGACCCGCTGTTGCCTTATTTCGCCTATAATTACAAAACATTGTCTCGCTGCGCAGTGTATAACCCATGTCCTTTCCAAGAGTCTGCATGTCAAAACTTAAAGAAGTAGATTTGCCCTCGCCATGCTTTAATGAACTAGCTATTTCCATTTGGAAATTGGTATCCTTCTTATCCTTCGTAATCTGGCCAGATAAAGACACAGGTATCTCTTGTTTAACCACAAACAAACTTTCTAGATTAACACCTTCATACCCAATGTCATGGTCCCAACCATGAGTATCTAGAACAGGTCTCACAACCCACTGGTTGGGAGAATCAAGATACCGGTAACGATGAGTCGGATTATCAGAATCAAAAGAAGCCGGTAGGGCCAAATCCGGCATGGGAACTGGAACAGATGCTGCACCACCACTTTCTTCTTCCACATTCTCACTATAGTCACTTGGCAAATCCTTAGCTGCAGCTGCCATTTTTTTCATCATCTTCCTTCGCTTCTTCTCTTCCTTCAACTGCTTCTTCATAAAAAGTTTTTCCCTATACTCCAGCTCATCAAAATATGCTTTCTTCTGAGCTTTAGTAAGCTTTGCCAGCTGGGCCTTTGTCAACCGTTTAAATGGTGGCAACTCATCATATTCTGACTCATTATCTGAGTCAGATGACTCATCCAGATCATCATCTAAGGTGTCATCATCACCAAACTGCTCTTCTGGCAGCTTTAGCTGTGGTCTTGATTGGAGAAGCGACGAGAGAAGAAAAGGTAAAGGAGGTGCTCTTGTTCTAGTACCAAAAGCCTTTCCAGGTGGACTATCTTGCATGTTTAGAAGTTTATTTGCTTCAGCCAAAATTTTTGACGCAAAGGAGAGTAATAACAAGTGGGGCTTCCAAACCTGACCATTTGGTAAGACTCTCTGACCAGCCCTGTTTGTTCTGCAAGCCGAGTGGTTCTCAACTAAAGAAACAGGATTCATGAGCCTCATATCCCCAGCTGCCTGGCGAATTGCTTGCTGGACAACATGAGATCGTTGAGTGACAAACACGTCGTAACTTGTAGCAGTGCCATTTGGGCCCTCAGGTGGAGCTGATGCTGCATGAGTTAGAACTACAATTGCATTAAACCAAATTGATGGCCCAAATATCTCAGTGATCGTACGCAAGAGTGGCATGTCACCAAAATCTCTGCTCTGCATATCCAGCCTATCAAGATACAAAACAATATCAGGGGGTGTTTTCTTAATAAACCGCTTCACAGAGTGCAGGATCTTTTCATTCTGGCGTTGGTCTGACCGTGATGGTAGAAGACCTGGTGTGTCAATTACCCTTACCTTGATCCCCTGGACAGTTCCGACAACATCCTGAACGTTCTTTGTACCCATCTGAAAAGCATCAGTGCTGAACTTAACCTCATCAAATATGGAGTTGATGGTTGCACTTTTCCCGACTCCTGTTTTTCCAAGAAGCATAATTGTGCAGGAAAAATCAAGGGGTTCCTGCCCAGCTGCTTCTTGTTGCTCTGCCATTGCACTAGCACGGTCAAAGCTGAAGGCAGCAACACGACTCCCATTTCTCCCTCGCAGCTGTTCAGCTAGCCCTAGTCTGTACAAGACTTGAGCTACAACAACATTGTGGGGAGTCTGTCCAAGCCGATGAGCAAGACGCAAGAACTTCACTCTTATCATCTGGAGTTTTTCACGGGTCTCATCATTTTCATCAGCTTCCCCATTTGCTGGGTCTTCAATGAGTTGGTTTTGCATCTGAGATAATGTTCCATTCATCCGAGGCTGCTGTGAAACTCGAGAAGCAGGTTCCAGTAGTGGGGCAGCATGACCAAGGCCGGCAGGACGAGCAGGTGTAGGGGTAGAATTTGCAGGTTTTCTAGAGGCCACGGAAACATCTGCTGCGGGCTTGATTTCACGTTCTCTATTCCCTTGAGTAATATGTTTGACCTCATCTTTGGCTACTTTGTTTTCGGGCACCTTGGCCACAGCATTGGAAGCTTCAACAACTTTGTCTGCATGCTGAAGTTTATAGCCCTCAATTTTTTTTGCTCCCAAATTAGATGCACTAGCCTGAACATTCTCATCAGTCACCACCACAGAATCTTCTGAAATAGGAAATTTATCAACCTCCGGAGTTACTTCCCTTCCCTCCACAAAAGTATGTAGCTTATCTTCAGGTTTTAAACTTATTCCATGGTGATCTGAATCTGTAGTAGCTGAAGTACCATTCAGTTCACTACCATCATCCTGCTTTCCCAAACCCAACTTAGCTGTGTCCTCCAGTTCCTCATTTTTATCACTGTGATGCAACAGAACTGGGCTTGCTGAAACTTCAACCTTCAGTTCCATACTCTGATCATCTTTAGGTTCCACGTCCAAGTTAACCAAACTGTCCCTTACTTCTTCAACCTTATCAATTTGAATCTCAGAAGCTACAGCATCTTCATTTTCCCAGCTCTTGTAATCCTGATGCCCAGTATCCAATAAACCCAAGGTTCTCCTTCAACTTCCTCACTCTTTCCAACTTGATGCAAAACTCCCCAGTCGATCCAACCTCCTGCTGAAAATCAGGGTCACCTCCCTGCACAATTTTGGCATCCCCAGTTTCTAATTCTTTTTCAATCAGCATTGCCTCCTTGTTGGCATGTCCATTACCTGAGATTTCACGAACCGGTGTTGCCTCCAAGCTCACAATATCTGAAACATCATTTTCAAACTTCTCACCAACTACATCAGACTTCTGATCCACCTGATGTCCATTTTCACCAGCAGCAGCAATATCAGCATGCTCTCCAGCACTTACCATTACATCATTCTCCATTTGATTCATTTCATCACTCACAACTTTCTCGGCTACACTTTCCTCATCGATGACTTCCTGCACTGCTGCCTCATCAGTAGGCTCCCCACCCACCAAACCCTCCTCCACCTTATCTTCAACACCAACTGGCAGCTCCTCCTCGTAATTACCAACCTCAACAGGAACCCCAATTGCCTCTTCAAACTTCTCAACATCACTTCCCACATCTGAGTTCTCTTCAATCTCTACTGAACCACCCAAATCCCCAACCTCCTCAACAACATCATCTTGATTGACAACAGAATAAACTCTCGGTGTGTCAACCCCAATCGCCTCCTCAAAAACTTCGTCCACTTCCACATCCTTCAACTCATCAGACCCAACCACACCCCTTCCTTCTACTCTCGAATCCAAAACCTCATGTTCCACAATCTTGTCTTCCAAACGAGACCCATCAACAATCCCAACCCCATTTTCCATCACAAAAAAAAATACCAATCAGATCTTCAAAACCCGGGATTCACTGAAAACCCACAAACCAAAACACCTAAAATTAATCTATCGTTTAATTTCCAATAAAACCTAAATGCAACGATCGAAAACAGATCAATACAAAACCCTAAGATCAAAACATAACCATTACTAGTCAGATCTTTAAATATATTGAAATCAAACTATTAATACACAAATATTAGATCTCAAATAGTATTACAAAAAATAAATAAGTAATTATACAACAAATTAGGGTTTTGCAAGAGAGTGAAATGATGAAAACAATTAAACAGAATCAAGAAAGCTTACCTTGCTATGTCTGTGTAGATGATATAGATATAGATATAGAGATAGCGAGAGAAAGTTAGGGCTTTAGAGAGAGAAACGATTGCGCTGCCGAATGAAGATTTTCTCCTCTCTCTCTCGCTCGCTTACTCTAAAATCTCCACACATCTACCCGAACCAGTAAACACACACACACAACAGCATATGAAAATATTACAGATAAGAGATTGATCGAACGGCTGAGAAAGCTCGAGAGGTGGAGATTGTGTGGTTCAAGAGAGTTCATCGATGTAATCGTGAGAAAACGCAGATCCATTGGGTGAGCAAGGATCCCTATTGACACCTCTACTTGACTTCTAACCTGATGTTATTGGGTTTATTTTTTGGTCAATGGTAGAGGGCTACAATTTTTGTGGCTTAAATGACTTAAAATTGTCAAAACGATGTCGTTTTGAGCACAAAACATGCCAAAACGACGTCGTTTTGACAGTTTTGAGCCATTTGAGCCACACAAATTGTGACTCTCAAACATTATTCTTATTTTTTAGTCTAATTTCAATGATTCGGACAGTTTATATTTTAAAATTTGTTATATATATCATATTTGTAAAAAATTAAATTGATCAAATATTAAAAAAATTAAAAATCATTTATTAAAAAAATTTTAATAAATAATTTTATTATTTAATAAAATTTGTAATTCACATAATTTGTAATATTCGATCGACTTAATTTTTTAATTTTTTATAAATATGATATAAATGATAAATTTTAAAATATAAACTGTTTAAATCATTAAAATTTGACCCATAAGTTGGCCCAATGGCCCATCAAGGCCGAAATTAAGTAGGGAAGTGAAGGAGGAAATCTTTGCTCCCATTTGGTGACGTCGACAAGGGAAGGTGGGGATATGGTTACCTGTGTTGCGGAACAGGTAGGGCTTTGTAGACTATTATGGTAAAAAAGTGAGGGACAAATGTGGACCGTTCATTGCGACATGATAAGACCTAACCTTCATGATCAGACTAGCTCTGTGCTCTCATTTGTGTCTTCTTGTATTTGTCTAATTTCTTGCAATCTTTTTCTCTTGTTTTTTTGTTTTTCTGATGTACAATCAACTAACCATCTTGAGCTTTCTATTTAGCACTTATGGGCCTACATAGTTGTGGGCATGGCCCAGTTGGCCCACAATTTATAAGGTTTTATCTGTTTGTTTGGTGTCTTCTTATATTTGTCTAATTTTTTTGTTTTGTTTGACTTTTTTTAGGAATTCGAGGATCTTTGGAAATTTACTTTTTTATTATTTTTAAATTTTTTATAAAAAAAACGTGAAGAAAAAATGATTTGACAATTTTTAGCGATTTTTTTCTTACTACAAACTCATCTTTCAAACAAGATCTTTTCCAAATAATTTGCTTAGCAACTCTTCAAATATATTAACTTTTCAACAATGATTCATTCTATTAATTTGTGAATTTTAATTGAGTATGAATGAGGTAAAAAAAATTTAAAAAATTAAAACCAAAATATCATATCAATTAATAGAACTCATCCCTTAAAGCTATTTTAGAGCTCATAGTTTGGAACTCTTAAAACATTTTTCTTTAACTTTTTTAGCTAGTAATAAATAACTTAGTGGCTTTTTAGTTTTTTTTAAGCTAAAATTAGACTCTTTTTTAGGGTTGCAAACCGCTTAGTAAGGCTTTGTTTGGCCTATAAAGTTTGGACTAAAATAGTTACAAAAAGATAAATATTTGTTTGGCATGCACTAAAATAGCAAATACTATTTTAACACATTATCATATTCGGATCACAATCATCTTGTTTGGGTTACATCACATCTCTATCATATCACTTCAAACTCAATCCATATTTAATATTTTTTGTAAAAAGTCAAAAAGTATATTAATCTAGCGCTTCCTAAAAAACCCCAAAATAAGCCAAAAAGTCAATACAAAAAAATCACATTCAAATCATAATCATTTTATATTTTCTCTTACAAAAGTCAAAAAAATCAAAAAACCTATCATAAACGAGATTCTTTAACTCCAGACTAAAATAATCAAAAGTTTAAAAAATTAACCCACATCCTAAACGAAGGTTTAGTGTATCAAAGCAAGATAATTGCCTACGAGTTCCATGGACTGGACTTATTTATTCATAAATTTTGAGTGAATTTTTTTTAAGGCTCGTTATGATAATAGAAAATTTTGGGACTTTTTTTTTTTATGTATAATAATACTGAAAACTTTATTAAAGCAATAAAATGGTTTGAACATTTTGACTTTTGTTATAAGTTTTGATTTATTTTTAATTTATTTGTGTTGGTTTGTATTGAAATACGATAAGAAAGTATAAATTGTTGAATTGTAATTTTTTATAATATTTGTATATTGATAAATTTATTATTAAAAATTAGAGCAAAACTTATTAATAAATTAATATGGTTCTATCTAGAGTTTGGCCTTTTTAGTTATATTTTTTTTATGAAGTAAGAAAAAATTAATATGTTTAGAAATAATATTTTTTAATTTTATAAAGAAATAAAAAAACATATGTGACTGATTTTTTTTTGTCACTTGATTTTTTTAGTCTTTTAACTTTTTTATTATTTTAAGGGTAAATTACACTTTGTTACCTTCAACTATTACCATTTTTCATTTTATCCCCTCAAATTAAAAATTGATATAATGTATTCCTTCAAATTTTCAATCACCCTTATCTCTCCATTCTATACTTCAATCCGACCCGACCCGACCTCACTCTCTAGTTTATTATATTACATTATATACTAAATTTATATATATTTGTTATAATTTATATTATTTAACTTTATTTTTTTATAAATATAAGTCATTTATTATTACTACTAGTAGTCTTGAAAACAAGGTTATTTAAATGACATAAGAAAATTGATTTAGGCATTGTTGTATTTATTGGAGACCAAGTTCGTTCATGTGATATTACAAATCATCTTATCCAATGATAGATGAGCAATGAGCAAGGATTCTCTAGAGTTTTTTTTTTCTAAAATTTTCTAGAGTGGTGCATTGTGTGGTTGAGATTTAATAACAAGTCACATCAATTTTTCAGCATTAAATCTCAACCACACAATATACCACTTTAGAAAACTTTAGGAAAAAAACACTCTAAAGTATCCTTGGTGCCAATGATGGGTGACAAAACTGCAATGCTAAAACCAAAATTTGACATTCTAAAGTGTCAAAATATTATAATTTGGCAATATTTTTTAAAAAATACAATTTTTTTATTTTATTTTATTTTATAAATTCAAACTTCAAACACAAATTAAAGGAGTTCCTCTCAATTTATTAGGGGGCTCATCTTTCAATTAACAACTAAAATAACTTTGTTTTCAACTGCTTTGCTTATCAGCAAATTGGAAAATACAATCATATTATTGTACCCTACCACCACCGCAGCCGACCCACCACCACACCACAACTAGTACATTAATTTCAAAATCACAACCAAACATAAGAAAAAAATTTCTACAAAATACATATAAATATATATATACATATCTGGAAAAATGTTTTCCACCAGAAACAAAGTGTAATCCAAATCGATGGAGCCTAAAATAACCAGTTTTGATAGTAGCATTGATGACCACAAACTAGAATGCAGATGCAAGCAAAGTTCATGTTTAGCTACCATGAAGAAAAAACATCAAAGCAAATTGAGCTCTCAATGCAAAATAGTTGTACCTTTCCAATGACCATTGAGAGGGAGATTTCCTAATTTGGCATTGGGCCGAGCTAAGTTGGGCCAAGCTAGTCAGGCCGAGCTAAGCTCGTGCATGCATTGCATGCCCCGGTCGAAATCTTAGCGCGGTGTAGCTTGAGTGACCTTAGACTGATATCTCGGCTGAACATGTGCACTCCGATGTGTTAGGTGGATTAGAACTTCCGAGGATCAAACCAACCGAGCAGGTGAACGGCCAAGACTGAGAAGGTCGGAAGGAGCCACAATGAAGTTGTCAAAGTAACCGGTCAATTAGAATGGTTGTTTCGGTGAGCCGTGATGCCGCTTTAGGAGTAGCCCGATTGGGGGTTTTATGCAACACCCCGGCATTGCAGGAAGGAGGTTCCGCGGTTCATATGCTTTAATTCGGTTTGACGATTTTGTTAGGTAGTGATTAGCTATTTTAGTGCTAACACGTGGGGAAATGTGAGAGAGGAGCAGGTCCACGCGTCTCGAGAGGAATGGGCACGAAAGCACGCGCAGAAACTATGGTTGCGTTTGGTAGAGTTTTGTAAATATGATTTGAGAATATGAGTTGTATTTTGAGTTTGTGAGTTTTGGAATTATGATTTGAGTGTAGAAAATTTGTTTGGTTATGAGTTTTGAAAAGAGTTTTAAAAAGAATTTTAAATTGAGTAGGGAATTTTTGATGTGACATGTGATATTTGATACAAAAACTAACAACTCATAACCAAACACACAACTCAAAATTCTATACAGAACTCATAAAAAAAAATTTAATTCAGAAAATATTTTTTATTTAATATATAAAACATAACATGTGCCAATTCCAAAAAAAAAAAAAATTCACTGGCGGGGACGTCCTGTGGGACATCCGGGGGGTCGACCGGGGGGACATCCGGGTGACAGAGTTTTCAAAGCAAAGCGTGGAATTGATTTTTAAAAACTGTAAACAAACACGCAACTCAAAAACACACATGGAATCACATTTCCAGAACACAACCAAATAGAGCCTATATAAACAAGGTTGCGCCTCCATAGAGGGGATGGACAAGTGAGAGCTCAACCACCACTTATAATCTTCTCTCTCTCTCTAGAAGTATATTAACTTGCTCGTCGAAGGGATTTTCCGGCAACACACCACCAGGTTGTTCACTGTCGTTGTGCTCGCAAGTTAATTGGAGTGAAGTAAAGCTTGGATACAAGGAGTACAAACAACACCGGATATTTGCTCCCCGTACAACCATCCAAACTGCCGAGTTCACAATTATACAACACCTAAAACAAAACTTTATTAAACATTGAAATACATGAGAAACAAACAATTTCAACAAATCCAGTTAAAAGAATTAATATCATAGGGAAGCTCTAGTGATCATATGCAACAACATCAACATCAAAGGCAAATTTTCACAATATACAAGACACTCCAACAGAGAAAATGTAAATATGACTATATAAATCAAATTCTCACGTAAATTGACACAGAAACCAATTACAACTAGTTGATTAACAATAAATAATATAAGAAAAAAAATTCAAAGGGGCAGTTCTAAACATTCCATTGAAAGCTAGGCAATCCAAATTGGTCAAGACACAGTTACTAATACTTACATGCAAAGAACTGCACTAAGAAGATAATTAATTCATGAGAAAACATTCATATGGGTGGTATGCAATGTAAGAAAGAGATTTTAAAGGTAACGATCCAAGGGATTGACGGAAAATGAAAAAAATCCAAAAATTTCAGAAGCTGCTGGGCACACTTTTTAGGTATAGACATTGGAATTAAGCCTAGCTGGTACAAAATCACAGAATTCAAATATCTCACAAGAAAATTACAGTCACTATAATTAAAGCATTATAGGCAGTGAAAATAAATCAATGGCATAGTTTATATACTCGTATTCGATGCTAACCATAGGGATTTGGCCATTTTGGATTATTTTCTGTTACCCACATGGCTGCCACAGCAAAAATAACCTCGTTTTCATCAATGTTACACGGACTCAGGTGCGGGTGTTGGATACGGATATGTGTCTAAGTGTTAGATTTGCCTATTCGTATAAATAACACTACAAGAAATAACACTTTTGGCAACAAAAAAATTGGTCGCTAAAAGTCTATTTTTGGTCGGCAAAAGTTATCCGCGACCAATTTTTTTGGTCGCTACTTTGGTCACCAATTGAGGGACGGCAAAAGTAATTCGCGACCAAAATTTTGGTTGGTCAGTAAAAGTTGGATTTGCTGACTAAATTTTTGGTCGCTAATTATTTAATTACCGCAACTAATTTATTTTGTCACTAAAACACTTTGGTCGCAAAAAGTCGCCTTTTGCCGACCAAATTTCTTAGTCGCCAATTGACACATTTCGCGACCAAAAAGTTTGGTCGCCAATTATCACATTCAACGACCAAAAAGTTTGGTCGCCAATTGTGACATTCCACGACCAAAAAATTTGGTCGCCATTTGTTACTTTTCGCGACCAAAACTTTTGGTCGGCAAAAGTGAGTTTCCACGACCAAGAGTTGTTTTAGTCAGCAATAGATGTATTTTTTGCGACCAAAACTCTTGGTCGGCAATTGTCATTTTTTGCAAAAAAAAATTTATTTATTTGTCGCGACTAATAAATTGGTCGCCAAAGCAAGAAAACAATACACCTGTAATTCCTAAGAATTCATTTAATCCATAATAAACCTATAATTTTAAAGCATCATTCAAATTAACTGAATCATTAACATTCGACACAATACAATTATTCTAAGTTTTCATTCACAAGTCACATCCATCTAGCATAACAATTTGAAACATAACTATTTGTTATCCATGCGCAGCTATCAACAAATAAAACTACTAATATTTGTTATCCATACACATCCATCCAAAAATATTTAATCCTCTCAAAAATGCTTATACTGCCAAGTAGTCTTGTACAATTTAGCTTCGTGAACTTGTTAAGAAATATGTTGGGGAGGGTGCTCGTCTGGTTCGTGAACTTTTGATCCATTTTTCCCAACTTTTGATCCACTTTCCAATGATGGCCCCATCGATATTGTTTTAGCCACTTCAAATGTTTCTGGGAACAAAGGGCCAACAGAGTGGTTCAATGCCCTCATATCAAGTGAATATCCAGGTAATAGTCTTGCAAGCAAAGGTGAAACAGCAGTCCTTGTTGCAACAGTGTCAGAACTCAGAATGCGAGAAGCCGAATTCACCTGTGCACAAAGTTTAATAAGTTCAAATGGAGAGCTTACAACTGATTCCACGGCACCAGCTGCAATTCTTGCCATAAAGGCCTCAGACATGCACATAATTGTCTTCTCGACCATCTGCAAGGACAATATGCAAATTACCACTTAAGGGGTTGAAAACGAAAGGTTGAATGTTTAGCAAGAGGACAATCAACTATCCTTATTAATTGGATGTTCAGCAAGTGTATAATCCACTATCCCTATAAACAGCAGTCCTTGCTGATTTTTCCTATATATAAATACAAAACCAAGTAATTAAATAAAGTGATAAAAAAAAATGGAGAGCCATCTGTCAAGAGAGTGTAAAGCAAAGTTCCCAGCATCAAAAAACCTAGAGCAGTGAAGATCATTCTTGTAGTTATAACAGAAAACCTCCTCGTGTTCCATTCCATCCCTAAAATAACAAAATTACTTAATGCAGGAGAAAATCACATTATATGAGAATGAGTGCCAGAAAAGAAAGAGGAAACATGTAAATATCAGGATGTTGCCCAGCGATAAAACAAAAAAGGGGATGTTCACACAATAGTATGCAGTCATCTTATTCATTTTTAAAATCCTTGCATATATTCCTCTCATAAGTTCATAACCAAACAAGGGACTTTTGAGGCAATATGACCAAAGAAGGTAACTAAGAAACGAGTTACCTTGATATGCTTGAAAGATTACCAAATGCAGCAAACAACATTGTCTCTAGCATTGATGATATATTTCCAACTTCCATGATTACATCTAACAATATGTTTATACAACACTGTTCAAACTGATGCAAATACACATATAGAAATAGATTCAGAATATAAAATTTTCTCACTTTCTTAACTCAATGTGGTAGAGAATTGTTTGCGGATTATTTATGAAATTTGGGCAGCAAATTAACCAAAAATGTGATTCGACTTCAAAAATATAACAATCCACATTTCTCTGTTCTCATTCACTAATAGCAAGATAATTCCTACATTCAACCAGTCAGGACCAATGTTACTAGAAAGATGATTGTTTTGGTATGTGGAATTCTAGTAACCATGGCTAAACTTCAACAAGCAGGTCAATATACCCAATGAGGATATTATATCATGTTTCTCCTACTTAATGCAAATAACTAAATACGGTCTATTGAAAGATAACGGAGAAAAGCTTCACTCTCAAATACTATGAAAGACAGTAGAAGAGAAATCAATAATTGAATCCCAAACCCTGCTGCAAAGCAGCAGTCTTGTGCTGAGTACGACCTTTATTTAATTGACAAAGCTATGATCTAAATATGAATCAACCACTAATTTTCTTTTTTTCATTATTAATCAAAGTTTTTGGTACTTACTTGTTAGGGCGTCGCATTAAAACGTAATATATTGGATCTTCTGAAGATTCTCCAATTGACAATTTCAGCAATTGCAAAACAATGTAACAACATGTTGTAATGCTGTAAAAAAACAAGCAACTTCACATCAAATCTGTAACAAAGATCTAGATTTCACTATACATGGTGGCAACTCATTAACATATCTAAATAAAAATTATAAAACTACAGTGTAATCAATTCCTCAAAACATATATTCAGCTGACAGTCAAATAGTTTTTGAATCTGCAAGAAAAACTAGAAGAAAAAATGCACGTAGGAACTTTAACTGTAAAGTATTTGGATAAAATAACAAAGATTTATTAATGCATGTTTAATAGTGAAAATGAAAATGTAATGTCAAATCAATTCAAATTAAAGATAGAACACTTCTATATTATGTAAGGCCTTCAAAGTAACTCTTTTTTTTTTCCTTCATCGTAGAACTTTTCAAAAACAATTGGGTATAAAGAGGATAAAATCTGTGATGAAATGAGCTCAAAAAATGACCTACCAACAGAAATAAGTTTGGACAAGTTAATTTATGTGTCAAAGAAGGAAGAGATGAAGAAAGAGAACTTAGAATTTAAGTTTGAACAAGTGAACTTATTTATTGACCAAGACTCCTCCAGTATTATAAATATTAATGACTTTCACAACTCTAAAATTTAAATAGCTGCACCTTCCGCAACGAACATACAGATTACTTAACATTCTTGTACAAACCTTGAATTTGCTTTTGTCTGGTGATTGGGCACGGCACACAAATCCAGATCGTGCCTCCTCCTCTGTTATGGTAACAGCATAAAAATGAGCGCATTGTTTTTCAACCTGTTAAATAGTGCCAAATACCCATATAAGCATACCACATTTAAGTTTAACATATGAACCACAACAAAGCTGTCTAACATTACAATAACAACAAAAACAAAAACCAACCTTTCTAAACGCGCGTTGTCCTAGTGGAAGTGGATGAATTGTTACTGTGCCATGTAGTGCCTCCTCCAAGACAGTTGCTGATACAGTTGTTTTGATTGGCACACCAAGTTTACTACATGTAGTACAATAAGAACATAACAGACCCTATTATCTGTAGCATAGGGCTCATGTTTATCATGAAAGAATGAATCTATGGGCAAATGAAAAGATGAAGAATGATATAAAGACATAACATTATGCACTTACCTAAAAAGTGCAGCAAAGATGGTGTTCACAGCACCTAAACTTGAAAGATCTAACTCCAAATCTTGGCTCTCTGATTCAACAGCCTGCCCAAAGGACACTCAAGTCACATTTAGCACCATATCAGAACATTTACTAGGGGGAAAAAAGGATAGAACATAACATAAAATTGAAACTAATTTCTAATAATTGGAACAAATCGATGACTGAAAATTGCTGAAACAGAAGTGAGCATTTACCTCAAACCCAGCTGTGTCATACTGATGTCGTTTATCAGGATCAGATAAAATATTGTAAGAAAAAGTGACCTCCTTAAATATATCAGCTGCTTTAGGGTCATTTGCATTCTTATCAGGATGGTACCTGAAATTGTATGATATTAGCATCATTAACTTTTTATCTGCCTGATAAAAAATATATAAACTGCCTATCATGCATCATGCATGCAGGCTTGTGAGAAAGAGAGAGAGATGCAGTAACATCTTCAACACAACGCAAGATGAGTGGTTTGCTAACTATTAACAAAAACTTCCCAAATAGACAAATACTACAACTCAACAGAGTTAGCAACCAACTTTTTTTTTTTTTTTTTTCGTGCATGTATTGGATATACAAGAAGCATAGAATTATGCAAGCTTTTTTTGAACTGGTTTGATGTAGTGCCACTGTGTACGAACAGGTTCTTTCGCTGACAAATTTTTTTAGTCGCCAAATCTCAATCAACGGCGACTAAAATATTAGTCGGCAAAAGTACTAGGAGAACATGGAACTCACCATGTCACGCATACTGAAATGGAGATTGTTCACTGAATCACCTCTACCAAGTTCTTCATTCATCCCATAAGAAATAAAAATCTTAGGGCCCACATCATTCTGCAGGGAATAATGAGGCAATTTGGCAGCAACATTTAATAGACCCCACTTGGAATGGATGTACTCAAGCAATGGTAGTTTACTAATGAAATTGGGTCTCTGATACAACAAAAAATCTTCAGGAGCAGTTGGGGAAGGCCAGTCCTTCAACTTTAACATTTGTGGCCAACCATTTTCATGGATTCGACCCTTTGAGTATCCCATGATAAACTGACCAAGCTCAATATTTACCTACCAACACATCAAGCACAACAGGCAGATATCAGAGCATTTGGCATAGCATAATAGCAAATTATCAACCCAACCCAATAATATGAAGAGAAAAAATAAAAAATAAAAAAATAAAACACAATAAATGAGAACCAGATACAATAGATGAAACAATATACAAAATATAAACAATCAGGGGTCAGTTTTATCCATTCCATAATTGGGAGTTTGATGAAGGCTACCTCAAACCAGTCTAAGAAATCTGTAGCCTTCACATTTCTGCTATCATCCTTCATTTTCTCTTCTGTTGTCTCCATATAACCATGGGATCCCAGCTTGACATTAACAAGCCATCACAAACCTCCTTGACAATAACAGGTTCACCCCGGATCCAACGCTTTCTAAAATCTGCAATCCCATCAACTTTTATATCTTCAGAAGTTGGACAGTACAAGAAATTGTCATTGCAGTTCTCTCTATTTGCATATTCGAAGAGCCTAGAGTTAAACCCAATTTCTCGTGAACTACCAGTAACATAAACCTTACAGCCAATAACCATTTCTTCGTAATTTTTTACCAGTTTTGCAACCCAATTCATCTTAAAAATTCATTTTTAAGGTCAATGACAGGCAACCACAACTGCCATACTCCTTTGGTGGGCACGGAATACTGCCATTGATGTTGGCTTTCCAATTAAAGAACTTGTCTAATAACTTCAACCAAAGTTTTGATTGTTTAACTTGCTCTGTTACAGTTATTTTATACTCTGTTCTCCCATCAAGCTGATTTTCCAACTCTCCTTTAACACCATGGATAGATGCTTCCCTAAGATCTTGGCAGCAGCTACTTACAAAATAATGACAGCCAAAGAATCCAACAACACCTTTCTAAACTGTCAAACAACCTACTTCTAAAATTTATTAAATTTCCCAAAACATAAAAAGTATGAAGACCTGTAGTCTGTAAATCCTATTAAATTCTGACCAAAAAATTATCCACAGACCTAAAAATGACCAAACAATGTCACTAATGGAACAGTATAAAATCTATCTAGATATCTCTATAAATTGAATGCACAAACTGTAAAATTCAATCAAGTTCTATATCCTAAAAACCATTATCATATATATGATAAACTCAAACACAAAACCCACAAGTTCTCTCCTTTAAAGTCGTGAGTGAATTTAGGGAATGAGAGATCGATTTCAAATTTCCCTAGCATCCCTCCGATTCAAAGCAATGATAAAAAATCATAAGTGCACACTCAGATTATCTCAAATCGTGACAAATCAAACATGACATAGAAAGAAATAAAGACGCCATTGATTGAAGATCCGAGAGAGACTCCGAATGATTATTTCTCAGCAACCAAACATGTGAAAAATCAAGAACGAAATAAAGAGCAAAATATTGATTACCAGATCAAGACGCCATTGATTGAAGATCCAAGAGAGACTCCGAATGATTGATCCAATGTGCCTAGGGTTCGAATCGAACGCAAAGACGAGAGAGAGAGAGAGAGTGGTTCGGTGTTGTTTGTTGGCTTGTGTCGCACCTATTTCAAAGAGAGATGAGAGAGGAGAAAATGAAAATGTGTGAGCTAACAGATTGCTAAAGATAAAAAAAATTCAATTCCCGCCCCACGTTTCAAATTTCCCCCCGAACTTTTGGCGACCAAACTCTCAAATTAGTCGTAAAAACAGGTTCTTTCGCTGACAAATTTTTTTAGTCGCCAAATCTCAATCAACGGCGACTAAAATATTAGTCAGCAAAAGTACTAATTTGGCGACTAATTTTTTTTGGTTGCTGAAAATAAGTTTTTCGCGACCAAATTTTTGGTCGCCAAAAAATATGTGACCTTCCGCGACCAAATTTGTTGTTGGTCGGCAAAAGTATACCACTTTCTACGACCAACATATTTTTTGGTCGCCAAAATATAACCTTCTGCAACCAATAATATTTGGTCGCCTCAATCAACGGCGACTAAAATATTAGTCAGCAAAAGTACTAATTTGGCGACTAATTTTTTTTGGTCGCTGAAAATAAGTTTTTCGCGACCAAATTTTTGGTCGCCAAAAAATATGTGACCTTCCGCGACCAAATTTGTTGTTGGTCGGCAAAAGTATACCATTTTCTACGACCAACATATTTTTTGGTCGCCAAAATATAACCTTCTGCAACCAATAATATTTGGTCACCAAAAATAATGATCATTCATGACTAATTAATATTTGGTCGCCAAATGTCATTTTTTTGCGACCAAAATTTTTTTGGTCGGCAAAAGTGGTCGGCAAATGTGTGAATTCTTGTAGTGTAAGGATACAGGGACTCGGCTAAAAAATGTCCAAAAAATATATACGGATACGGGGACACGGCACATAAAGTATTAATATTTTTTATTTATTTATTGTGACTAACTACATAATCTATGTGCTATGATGATCAATACCCAGATAGTTAAAGTTTAAAAAAATACATAGAAAAAGAAAAAAGTAATTTGTTATGAAATGAATGTAAGACCTAGGCACATACCTGATTGATTAGTGCTTCCAACCTCCCACAATTCACATGTTCTTCCATCATTTTAGTTGCATAATTCCTTATCACCATTAGTTTAGGCAAGATATAAAAAAATATTATGTATAAAATATAAATTAAGGAAAAAAAGACAAGAAAATGATATGGATGCTTACTTGATCAAGTTTAAAATATGTTTAACTTTTACCACACCTATAATATTCTATATTATAATAATTGCAATTAGGGCTGCAAACGAACCAAGCCGAGCTGAGCTTTGCTGAGCTCGAGCTCAGCTCGTTTATTTATCGGGCTCGTTTATTGAGCTAGAGCTTGGCTCAATAAGGAACTAGACTCGAGCTCGGCTTAACTCAATAATTTTTTGAAAATATTATTTATATTATTTAAATAAAAATATTCAAATAAAAAAATATTATTTATATTATTTAATATATACTTTATTTATATATATTTATATATTATTTAATATATAAATAATATATTTATTATATAATTTAAATAAAGATAAACAAGTTGAGGTTGACGAGCCGAGCTTATGCGAGCTCGAGCTCGGCTCATTTACTAAACGAGCCTAATATTCGAGCTCGAGCTCGGCTCGTTCACTAAACAAACCAAGCTGAGCCATTAATGAGCAGAGCTAAGTTTGTTCATGAACAGTTCGATTAATTTGTAGCCCTAATTGCAGCATATTATAAATTCGAATTGTGAATAATGTCACAAATATAAGCGTTATGATAAAAAAAAACTACATTCTAGTTGACTGTGATGATCAAATTTAGATTTACAAAAATGATAAGTTTTATATGTCAAGTCAACTATTCTTATTCATAGTTGACTAATCATCTCCACCACACCACAAAATGTCAAAAGGCAAAAAGATAAAAACAGATTATAGTCTTTACATAAACATCAATATATGAAAAGGCAAAAGATCAAATCAAGCTAGTCCAAAAGTTAAGCATCTAAGTCCTAAGCATCATGATCAACATCATCAAGCTCCTCTATTGCATCATCAAAAGTCACAAACTTCAACTCAGGTTCATTGATGGAAAGTTCTGCAAACTCAATTTGTAATAACCCCGACCTCCGATTAATGCTAATCCATGAAATATTCAAATTAGACAACCAATCTCCTCATCCATCTAGTACTTCATCTAGTGAAACTAGTAAACCTACCCTTTTCCAGTGATACTTCTAATTACTATTGTCCTAGTGATATTACTGATAATAATCAAATTGAATTAGGATATAATGATACTTGCTGTGAACAAATCAATGTTCTTCGTAAATCACAACAAGAAAAAGATTCATTAATTGAATTAATCAATAAATTAGACAATCCTGAATTGAAAAGAAAATATACTAATAAATTAAAATCTTTACTAATGAATAAAGATAAGAAACCTCATCAAAATAAACTAATCATTAGGCTTACTACTACTTTGGAAAGATTTAGAAAAGCTCAACATAAAAAAGTGACTTTACAAGATTTACAGAAAGAAATAAATCAAATTAAATTAACTCTTAAAGAATTAAAAAATAAAGATAAGTCATTAGAAGACGAAATTGCAATATTAAAATTTAACAAAGGTCTTAATGATTTCAAAATAATGATACTTCCTCTGATAAATCTAGTACTAGTCATAATCCCAACCGCGTTATCTTTGATAATCAATCTACCAAATCTCATAGTGATAATGATAATCAAGAAAATTATAGATTAAATATAATCAATAGAATTAATATTCAAAAATGGCATTCAAAAATCAAACTTATAATTAATAACTTTGAGATTGAAGTCATAGCCCTGATTGACAAAGGTATTGATTTAAACTGTATTCAATAAGATTTAATCCCCACAAAATATGATCATAAAACTAGTGAACAACTAAGCTCTGCTAATGGGAGTCGAATGCATATTAAATATAAATTACCCAAGATTCATATTTGTCAAAACAATGTATGTTTTAAAACATGATTCATCCTAGTAAAAAACATGGTAGATAAAGTCATTCTAGGCACCCCATTTATTTTCCTATTATATCCATTTACCACTACTAATTCTGGTATCACGACACAAGCCTTTGGTCACACAATAACCTTCAAATTTTTAACTCCTCCTAAAATCCGAGAATTAAATCAACTAAAAGAATATTTCATATCCCAATCTATTAATCAATTAACAAAACATCTAAAATTTCTCAAAGAATAAGTAAACTACAAAAGAGTTGAATCTTAATTAAAAAATCATATTCTTATTTCCAAAATTGAATAATTTAAAAGTAATTTAGAAACTACCATTTGTTCTACTATACCTAGCACTTTCTGGCATAGGAAAAAACATACCGTCAGACTTCCTTATATTAAAAATTTTAATGGACAATTAATTCCTACTAAATCCAGACCAATCCAAATGAGTAATGAATTAGTAAAAATGTATAAAAAAAAAGAAATTATTGAATTACTAATAATAAAATCATTAGTAAAAGTAAATCCCCATGGTCTTGCCTTGCTTTTAATATTAATAAAGATGGTGAACTTGAACGTGGCGTCTCAAGACTTGTCATTAATTATAAGCCTTTAAACAAAGTTTTAGAATAGATAAGATATCCAATCCCCAATAATAAAAAAAAAGATCTAATTAAAAGACTTAATCAAGCTGTCATCTTTAGTAAATTTGATTTTAAAAGTGAATTTTGACAAATACAAATTCACCCTAATGATAGATATAAAGCTGCTTTTACTACACCTTTTGGTCATTATGAATGGAATGTCATGTCTTTTGGTTTAAAAAATGCACCTAGTGAATTTCAAAATATCATGAATGAAATATTTAATCCTTTTAGTCATTTTTCTATTGTTTACATAGATGACATTGTTATTTTCTTCAAGTCAATAGATGAACATTGGAAACATCTCCACTCCTTCCTTCAGATTATCAAACATAATGGCTTAGTCATCTCTGCACCTAAAATCAAGTTATTTCAAACCAAGGTCAGATTTTTAGGTTATGACATATAC